GGACCCTCGTACGGGCTCTCGGCCGAGGTCAAGAACCGGGTGAGTGAGGGGCGCGCCCCGCCCCGCCAGCCCAAGCCGTCGGACCCTCCACTTCTGCAGGGCGGGCGCCCCGCCAGGCTCCCCACCAACTGGGGCGGCCCTCCGCCTCCCTAATATCTGGTGGTGCCTCCCGAGGCTCCCTCAACCCTAGGGGAGCGGTGATGTCTGTGCTCTGGCATAGCCTAACATCTAGGAGTGGCTGAGTCTAACCCCTTCCACAAGCCCTGCTCCCCCAACCCCACCTCGTCTGAAGCCCCCCAGCCCTGGGCCCCTCAGCGCTGCAAGGCCTGAGAATGCCCTGAGGGTCTTAGGAGACCCCAGCAGCCCCTCTCCTCATCGCCCTACCCTACTTCTGCTTTTGGGGCCACTTAAGTTTCGGGAAGGGTAGGGGCCGGCCGCTGGGTTTTGAGAAGCCTGTGCCCCCCCCCCCGGAATTTCCCAACCTCTTACACCTGGGAGGTGGGGCACCAAGGGGGAAGTTGGAGTTGAGGGGCCATGGCCCCACTGTTCCTTCTACATTCTCTTTCTCCCCAGCTGACAAACTTAAAGGGATAGCAAAAGGGCCCACAGGACCTGTGGGGTCCCCTGAGCGTGACCCTGGGAAGTGGGTTTTGTAACTTGCAAACTCAGGGTGGGGCTGGGGAGACACCTCTTAAGAAAACACTTGTGGTTCAGGCTCAGAGAGAGCCAGGCATTTCTGGAGGGTCACACAGCAGGGTCGGCCCATCTAGGGATAGAGGAGCAGGGGGTGATCCCAGACCCAGGGGGAGGTCCTAGGCTTGACAGACAAGGGCCATCCAGCTGGAGGAGGTCTGTCATCCCTGTCTACCCCACACACTTCCACAAGGCTCCTGGGAATGTGGTCCCACAGTGACAGCCTCTGGGAGCCTGCCTGGGCACAGCGGGGACGCAGCCCTGCCGGCCCCCAGGCCACTGCCCCGTTGGCACGCCAGGACCACAGACAGGAGGGTCTCTGCATCACCTCTGGGAGCTCCGAGGAGCCTCCCTCCAGCTGGTCTGGGGAGCCAGGGGAGCCGAGGGACTGCACGGGTCTGCCAGGGAACAGAGCCAGCTGGGTGGGAGGGGATGCTTTAATGTGCCCTACCCAGGACCAAGATGGTTTAAGACTCCTGGTTTGCACACAGGGCTCAGAGACACCTTTCAAACTGCCCAGAACCACACAGCTTGCCAGTGGCAGTCAGGACTCGAACCCAGACCTGCCACAGGCAGTGCCTTACGGCCCTGGATCCTCCAGGGCAGTGCCGGCTTCTTCCCTGAGGCAGCAGGAAGTGGGTGAGGGCGCAGCCCCAGCAGGGGTGGGAGCAGCTTCCTGAGAGGCAGTAGGGATGGGGGCAGGTTGATACCTGCTCTGTCAGGGAGGAGGTCAGTCGGAAGGCTTCCTGTGACCAACTCTCAGTTTGCAGGTCTGGAGGTTGGGCGGGGCCCCCACCAGCTTGCCAGGGTCACTCAGAGGCCAATTCCACACCAGAATTGGAAGCCAGGTTCCTGTGGCTTCCAGCCCACGCGCCACCCACTTTCCCAGCTGCTAGAGTGGGGAGACCTGGTGCCCCCTCTGCCCAGCCTGTGCCTCACTTCCCACTCCTGCCACCTGGCTGGATGGCACAGAGGCAGGCTGATGTCCAGTGTGTCCCTCTCGAGCTCTCTGGCCGGCTGGGGGATCGGGCCGCTGGGAACAGCTGGTCCCGATTTAGCAGGGAGGCAGCGGCTGCATTCCTGGCAGTTTGCGGTGGGGAGGAATGCGCTGAAGGCCGGCTGGGCAGCGGGGGAGGAAGGCAGCCGCTGCGGGGCGGGGCTGCCAGGCGCCTTTGCCCCGGGACCCTGCTCCCCCAACCTCCCCTGGCCCCCGAGAGCTGTCAGGGACGGGCCCCAGCTGGGCAGGCAGGCCAGGCCTCCAGACCAGCCTTTGTGCTTCGAGCTCAGCTCTCAAGATGACCCTGCAAGCTTCGTTTGGGCGGGGCTGCTCCCCAGGGGTGGGGGCTTGGGAACCAGAGACCAAGGCCTGAGGGAGGGGGTGGGCCTGGCGGATCGGGTTAGCAGGCCAGCCTCCCGCCTTTGTCTGCCTTGCACTCTGGGCAGCTCTGCACTGATCTGGTGTGTGGAGGTTTCTAGGCAGGAAGCTGGAACCAAGGGGCCCGGGTCTGGTGAGCCTTATGAAAATGATTTAGACATAGATGGGGAAACTGAGGCACTGGGTGAAAACTGTCCATGATCATCAGGGAGTTGGGGGCAGAGCTGGGAAGAAGACTTGGGTTTGCAAGGGCCACTGGGGTCCCAGTCCCCTGGGGGCTGTGGAGGAGAGAAAGGGAGAGGGGTGGGGTCGGCGTGAGTAAAGGTGACCAGGGGTCTGGGACAGAAAGCCCAGCCGCCTGGGCAGCCGGATCCTCAGTTTCCCACCGCCCCTCCAAGGAGCCGCCCTGTGCTGCCTACACACCATCCTGGGTCTCCCTGGGGGCTGTGAGATGCTGCCTTGGGGAACAGGAAGTGTTGAATCTGTGAGCAGCAGTGTGTGCTGCTCCGGGACCACGAGCATCTTTATCCAGGGACAGCCTGAGCTGAACGCACAACCTGTAGGCCTGTAAGTAGGGATGGACCATAAGCAAGGAGATAGATCAGCTCGTAGAAGATGGAGGAAGGTTAGACGGAGACAAAGCAGGGTGGGGCGGGACCGGGAGTGGGATGAGGAGGGCCTTCACAGCCAGGTGGTCAGGGAAGTCCTCTCCAAGGAGGTAACCTTCAAGCTACAAATGGATCGAAGGAAGGGACCCAGCTATGCAAACGTCTGAGTCCACAGTGACAGCATGTGCAAAGGCCCTGAGGCAGCAACTGGTATGGCCAGTTCAAGGAGCAGAGAAAGGTTTGGTGTTTCCTTAGTAAGTTAAACATAGAATGATCACTTGGCTCAGCAATCCTACTCCCAGGTATAGACCCAAAAGAATTGAAAACAGGTGTTCAGACAAAACTTGTAAATGGATGTTCACAGAAGCGTGATTCACAACAGCCAAAAGGTGGAACCAACCAAAATACCCATCACTGGGTGAAGGGATAAACACAGTGTGTCCCTCCACACACAAAACATCACTCGGCCGTGAACAGGAGAGAAGTACTGACACTCGCTCCCACGTGGACGGACCCTGAGAGCACGATGCTCAGTGCGAGAAGCAGACACAGAAGGACACACCGTGTGTGACTCCGTGGATGTGAAACGTCCAGAACAAGCCAGTCCACAGACACAGTGGATTCTTGGTTGTCAGGGGCTGGGGAGGAGGAGCAGTGGGAGGTGACAGCTAATGGGGATGGGCTTCCTTTTGGATTGACAGAATGTTCTGCAACTAGATAGAGGTGATGGTTGCACAACACTGAATGTACTAAATGCCATTGAATTATGAACCTTGAAGTGGTGCGTGTTGTGTGTATCTTACCACAGTTTAAAGACCAAAACAGAGAAGGGCCGGTGTCTCTAGTGCCTGGAGATTAGGGAGATGGCGGAGGGGGGGTGCAAATCCTTTACGGTTTGTGTTGGCTGCTGTGTGGGGTTTGGCACCACTGGAACTAGATTATCCCCGATGTTGATCAGTGGGACATACGGAGCGGTTTATCTGTGCTGATGGGAAAGGGGAGTTGTGTGCTCGGGTGGTATGGGGACTTCCAGGCCCCACTGTCTCTTCTTCACCTGGAGCCATGGGCACCACCCCATCAGAAGCTTCATGAGGCAACAGCTGGGTGTGTGTTTACTCCAACCCTGTGCCCTCTGCCCCGCCAGCTCCTGTCCAAGTATGACCCTCAGAAGGAGGCGGAACTCCGCAGCTGGATTGAGGGACTCACCGGCCTCTCCATAGGCCCCGACTTCCAAAAGGGTTTGAAGGACGGGCTTATCTTATGCACGTGAGTGTGTGTGTCTGCATGTGCTCATCACCCTGACTGCTGTGCACAGTGAGGTCATGCTCCACGTGCTGTGTGACACCTTCTTGCTTTTCCTTCAAGAGTCTCCGGTCTTTCTCACCCTTCCTTTTTCTTGTGTTACTGCTTTGTCCAGGATCACTAATGGGGAGCATCCTTACCCCTGTCCTTTCTCAAGAGAGCCTCTAACATGACTGGAGGCCTCTCTTTGCTGCATCCTGGGTGGTTGTCACTCTTTGGCACCTTTGTTTCTTTGGTGGTGAAGACTAGATTGCAGCGGGGGGAAACTGAGGCCCAGAGAGAGGCAGTGAGATTGGCCAGGAAGGCATGAATTAGTCTCTTGGGTCTCTGTGGTTCCCCAACCCTGATGGAAGTTCCCGTGTCCCCCCACCCATGTGTCCCCCACAGACTCATGAATAAGCTGCAACCAGGCTCAGTCCCCAAGATCAACCGCTCCATGCAGAACTGGCACCAGGTGAGGGACTGGCGGGTGGAGCAAGGACAGGGCTGGGGGGCCCCACCTGACAGGTGGGCAGACTGAGGCCCCTCACCGCCCTCTTCTCCTGCCTCCTCCCAGCTAGAAAACCTCTCCAACTTCATCAAGGCCATGGTCAGCTACGGCATGAACCCCGTGGATCTGTTCGAGGCCAACGACCTGTTTGAGAGTGGGAACCTGACACAGGTGCAGGTGTCTCTTCTTGCCCTGGCTGGGAAGGTGAGGCCCAGAGAGGGGTAGCCACCTGCCCAAAGTCACACAGCAAGCCAGGCGGAGATCCACAGATGCTCTTAATTTCTTACTTTGGAAAGATTTTTGGGCACCCACAAGGCACCAGACACTTTGGATTCGAGGGTGACCAAGGTAGACACAGTCCACCCCTTTCTGGGCAGGTCATGAACAAAATTTTTTTTTTGGTGGGGGGGGTAATTAGGTTTATTTATTTATTTAATGGAAATACTGGGGATTGAACCCAGGACCTCGTGCATGCTAAGCGTGCGCTCTACCACTGAGCTATACCCTCCCCCTACAAATTTTTTTTATTAAAAAATCCCTCATATGTTAGAGCATTTTTAGGTTCACAACAAAACTGACTGGAAGGTCCAGAGACTTCCCAGCTGCCCCCACCCCCGCCCTGCTCAGGCATGGTCTCCCCACCTTGGTTACAGTCCATGAGCCTCCTTGGACACCTCATGATTTCCCAGAGTCCACATGAGGGTTTGGGCTTCAAATAACTTTGTTTTACAAATTATACATTATGAGAAGCAAGTGTTACGCTTGCACCAGGGTCTGGTGACCAGGGTGGGTTAGAGCAGTGCTTCAGGAGGAGGGAACTGCCACGGGCTTGAGGAGGAGGTTTGCACATCAGGGAACTGGGTTCCAAATAGTGTTTCTGGGAACCTCTGGTAGCTGCCCCGTGGGCGGTGGAGATGCAGAGACCGGGGAGGAGCCAGGGCAGGCCTTCGGCGAGACGGTGCCCAAGGCCAGGACGGGTGGCCAGGGAAGGGCAGAAGAAAGGTAAGAGACACAGGCGGCAAGGATGACCCCAAATTCTTAGCCTGAGCAATTGGAAGGCTGGGGCCGCTATGGCCGTGGGAGGGGAGGTGGGAGCCACAGGACCTGCTGAGTCTGAGGTGCCCAAGGGGTTGGGTGGCAGGTGCAGGGGGCAGGTTGCAGCCCAGCCCCTAGGCCTCGCCTGGGCTCATACACCATGCACCTGGCTTGAGGGACCGGGCTGCCCCACCCTGATACTCCTGTCCCCCTCCCCTGCAGGCTAAGACAAAGGGGCTGCAGAGTGGTGTAGACATTGGTGTCAAATACTCGGAGAAACAGGAACGGAACTTCGACGATGCCACCATGAAGGCGGGCCAGTGCGTCATCGGGCTGCAGGTGGGCGCCGGGCTGCTCCACCCTGGGGCCCCTGGTGGGCAGGCTTCTGGTGCAACCTAGGCCCTGTGCAGCCCGGCAGCCCCTCAAGCTCGGGGCAGGGTCTAGTGGCCTGGCGGGGACCATCTGACCTCTCCCACCTGCCTCCCTGCAGATGGGCACCAACAAATGTGCCAGCCAGTCGGGCATGACGGCTTACGGCACCAGGAGGCATCTGTACGACCCCAAGAACCATATCCTGCCACCCATGGACCACTCAACCATCAGCCTCCAGATGGGCACGAACAAGTGTGCCAGCCAGGTGGGCTGCGCCCAGTCCCGCCAGACCTCCACCTGCCTCCCCTCCTCGCCAGACTCCGAGGGCTCATCCCTGTTGCGAAAAACCCCACTCTGGGTTTCCCTCCTACCCACTGTGCCCTTGCCTGCTCTGTCTCTGCCTCAGCTTGCTGTGTGTCCCTGGCGATGTTACTACCCAGCTCCGTGCCTCAGGTTCCCTGAAGGTTTTGCCTGAAAGCCCGTCCAACTCTGATATGTTTAGATCCTGCGAGTGTCACTTTTCCTCCTGTGTATCACTGAGTATCACTGATGGCCTCCGGAAGACCTGAGCCCCAGCCTGAGCAGCCTCCTAGCTGGCAGGGACAGCTGGGCCCAAACACTGTGGTCCTTAGGGAGGGGGGGGTCACTGGTAATTGAGATCAACTCAGCACAGAGTCAGAAAAGAGAGGGTTCTGACCAGGGCTTGGGAGGGTCTGTAGTAGTCTCCACCGTGAATGCAAATACGGGGAGGTGGGAAATGATGTGGGAATTTGGGGGAAGTTCTCCTTCGGGGCCTCTGTTTCCCCCTCTTCTTCCTTAATGCCTCTCCTCCCTCTCCAGGTGGGCATGACGGCTCCAGGGACCCGGCGGCACATCTATGACACCAAGCTGGGGACAGACAAATGTGACAATTCCTCCATGTCCCTGCAGATGGGCTACACACAGGGCGCCAACCAGAGCGGCCAGGTGTTCGGCCTGGGCCGACAGATATACGACCCCAAGTACTGCCCACAAGGCCCAGCAGCCGATGGCGCTCCAGGGGCTGCCGGTGACTGCCCTGGCCCAGGGGAGGCCCCAGAGTACCCCTCCTACTACCAGGAGGAGGCAGGCTACTGAGGTGCCCAGGCGGGCTATCTCCTCACATCTGTTGCCCCATCTGGGTTTTCGGGTTTTTCTGTTTTTGTCTTGTTTTCCTACATGTCTGAGTGCTCCGGGCAGCAGTTTCCCAGCAGGCTTTGGGCCAGGCAGCTGCCGAGGGGAAGAAACCCCGGCTCCAAGGGGTTCAGGCCCCAAATGGTTTCCGGTTACTTCTTCCCCTCTTCTTTTTTCTCTGCTGATCAGTTTGTGGTTTCTGTACCCATAAAAGTTTCAGGCGGTTTTGAAAGTACTTTTTTTTTTCAGGGGAACAGTGTGGGGGATGGTGGAGGGTGCTGAAGGAAGTAAGTTCCCTAGGAGAAGGCCAGGCCACAGTCCCCAAATATTTTAAGCCTCATAAAGTACTGAATTTCCCTAGGACCCTCAGGCCAGCAACGCTGGCCCCTCCCAGGGGCCCGTGGGGACACCGAGGCCCAGACATGACAGTGAGCTCTGAAAGTTTGAGGCAAAGCCAGACGCCGCCCCAACTCGTCCTTACTCCCCTACCAAGTGCTGCACAGGTACCTCCACCCGGAGGCCCTCCTAGGGACCAGCCCCTGCCCAGGAGCCCTGGGACCAAGAAATAATGTGAAATACCGACTGTGGACCAAAGGAAATAAAGCCTCTTTTTAGGAAATGAAGGTGCTGGAGTCGGTGTCCAAGACAGCCTGGGGATGGGGCGGGCCAAGCTGGCCTCTGATCCCTTCCGGAGCCATGGGGGCCTGGGGGTGGGGCGAAAGGCAAACCTCTGTGGAGGTCCTCAGGACCGCCTCCCTGGGAGGGGTAGCAGCTGAGGCCCGGGGCACAGGAGAGTTGGATATGGGGATTTGAGGATCAAGGCCTGGGGTCGAGGGGGAGAAGTTGGAAGCCTCGCCCCTATCCCCCAGCCCCAGGTAGACAGCTGGGCTTCATCCAGCCTGGTATAGTCTCCACCTGGAGTGCCCTCCCTGGCAAACTCATCCTCAAAGCCCCAGCACCAAAACCACCTCCTTCCACGGAGCCCTTCCTACACCTCTCACCCTTCCCAGCGCCTTAAGACCTGTCGATCCACACACTTGTTTCAACTTCATCATGATCTTGTGAAATATACCCAATATTCCAGAGGGAGAAACTGATCTGGAGGTCTTCTTCAAAATCAGGGTGACCATTATGACCCAACTGTAATCTTAGAATGTTGGCGTCCCCTCCCTCTTCTGCCGTCACCTGGCCCACTGTAGGGTCCGAGGAATGTTTGTGGAATGAATGAATGAGTGAAAGAACGAAGACTCTCCGAACCCCCGTTTCCTGGATGCGCAAGTGGAGCCCCAGGGTATTAGAGCGAGTCTGGTTAGGACTGCGTCCCCCAGGGGAAAGTGGGGAGAAAGGGACCTCCTGTGACCAGGAGCTGCGGTATTGCAGGTAGCTGTGAAACATGGGAAGACAGCCGGGCCCGTGTGTCCGGAGCCCAGCCGGAAGGGGTTGAGCCGAGCGCCCCGCCTCCTCGCGGTGCGGCAGCAAGAGGAGCGCCTTCCCAGCCCTTTAAGAAACCCGGCTCAGCGTGTCTCCGCTGTGACCCCGCCTCCACCCTCAGCGCGCGCGGCCCTGGCTGGCCCGGCCTCTGAGTGGCGGGTAGGACAGCCAATGGGGATGGACTAGGCGGGCCGGGCCGGGAGCGGCAGCGCGCGCGGGTCCACAGGTACAGCTCGCTGCAGGGACCCCTCTCCCTCTGGAGTAGGGGGGGAGGTGGGGCTGCTCTTAAGGGAGCCACGCTCCCTGGCCGCTGTCGGGTGGAGGGAAGGCGGCAAGAGCTGGGGGCTGGAACGGTGAGAGCTTCCCAGAGAGAGAGGATGGCCCTGAGACTCTCAAGGAAGGATGCGGGGGTACGGATGGTTGGGAAAAAGGTAGATTCCCTGGGCATTAAGGGATGCGGGCGGAGTCCAGACTCTCACTTTCACTCCTTGCCAGGGAGTGTCGGGGACCGCAGAACTGACCACTCATTCTCGAGGGGAAGGTTGGGCATTAGACTCCCCTGAGAGGCGCTTTGCCAACATACGTTAGCGGATGGGAGACCCCCCTTTAGAATGGGGGTCTCACAGATAGGTGGGTTCTTGCCTGCTGGCTGGAAAGGATTCGCAGCACAGGCAGAGGGACAGAGTGAAAGCTGTTTTATTGCTTAAGGGGAAGAAGAAAAGGCCCTGGAGCGGGGAGCGGGGGAGCCATAAGCCCGGGTGGCTTGACCAGGAACTGCCGCCCTTGGGGGTCTCAGCTGGGTCCTTTTATCTGTTCCTCTTTGTGGCTTCTTCCCGTTGGCTGCCCTTTTCGCTCTCATTCCTCCGCTCATTCCCCTGACTCCTTCTGCTCTGTGCAGCAGAGCACTTTGCGAAAACAAGATTAAGCAGGCGGGACCCTCAAACATTGTGGTCAGATAAGATTAGATCAGTTGGGGCTCTCTGTTCCCTTAGGATAACTTTAACATTACTCAAGCAAAAGTATCTCCTAAGTTAAATTTAAACTTTTAAAGACTTCTCTAGGCAACGAATGAGTGCAATTTCAGGTCCCTAGTTCCCCGCCTCCCTCACACACACCTGCAGTCCCTCTTCCCTAAACTCTTTGCCTCATTTTACAAGTAGAGTAACTGAGGCCTCTCCCCCAGGTCCCATTTGTAAAGGAGAGTCCTGGAGTGGGGGCCGAGGGTCCTGGGTCCACTCTGTGCCCTACTGGCGGCCTCAGCTTCGCCATCTGTACGGTGATGAAGTAGGCCAGGCTGGACAGTTCCAAGTAAGGACAGTATCAGGAATCGCTGGTTCCAGGAGTCTTCATTCGCTGCCCCTTCCACTCACTCATTTTCAGGATCTTGTGATTTTTCTGAACAATGAATAATACATGAGGGTGGGCAGAGCTGGGGTCCTGCCTCTGGCTGAGTGACTCGGCCTGACTCTCTAGGGGCCTGGGGTGGCCCCTCTTCCAGTCAGTAGTGTAAAATGTCCAGCACAGTGTATACTGGTTGCTAGTATCATTGGGGAAGAGCCGGGGTAAAGGGAACTTTCCCCCGGGTTAGGGACATGGCTGGGGGACAGGACCTGGAGACCTCCAAGTGGGGCTTCGGGGGAACCTGGTGATGAAAGAGTTAAGCTGAGGCTCCGCCCCCCTGCAGGATTAATTGAGCGCCTTTAGGACGCCTCCGATAGCCCTGGAAGGAGCGACAGCCCCAAAAACCAATCAGATCCGAGGACAGCTTCGGGCAGGGCTCCCATTGGCTTACTACACCGGGAGAGGGGAGCCGCTTTAATAAGTGCCTACTGTTTTCTTGGCTCTAAGCAGAGCTTCCAGGAACCCTGCGCAATGAAATAGATGATGAGGTTCAGAGAGGGACAGGGAGTTGCCCGCAGCCACACAGCAGGTCCTCAGCCTGACCTCTGCGTCCTGTCTCCCGTCCATTTCCACCATGGTCTTCTGGACGCAGCTGATGCTGCTGCTTTGGAAGAATTTACTGTATCGCAGGAGACAGCCGGTAAAGCCCCGTCGGGTGAACCAGGGCGGGGCGGCCAGGGCGCCCGCCACAGCCCCCCACTCCTCCCGCCTGTTCTGCCCCCGCAGATCCAGCTCTTGGTGGAGTTGATGTGGCCTCTCTTTCTCTTCTTCATCCTGGTGGCCGTACGCCATTCCCACCCCCCACTCGAGCAGCATGAATGTAAGCCCCCGCAGCGTCCAGCACTTTGGGAGGCAGGGGGCAATGGTCACCCTATCCACAGGGCCCCCAGTGAGCGTTAGGAGCACAGATCAGGCACTCAAATAATGGCTGAGAGTGAGCGCTCTGTCGCGGGGGGCGTAATCACGATGGGGACTCGGACAGGAGCCCCAACATCCGGTGTCCCCACAGGCCACTTCCCCAACAAGCCGCTGCCTTCAGCGGGCACCATTCCTTGGCTCCAGGGCCTCATCTGCAACGTGAACAACACCTGCTTCCCGTGGCCCACGCCTGGAGAGGAGCCTGGAGTCGTCAGCAACTTCAAGGATTCCCTGTAAGTAAGATGCTGTGGGAGCGGCGGGGTGAGGGGGTGCCCATTGGCCACCGCCTCCCGCTCTCTCTCTCTGTCCCCAGGGTCTCCCGCTTCCTGGCAGATGCCCATAGTGTCCTGGGGGGCCCCAGTGCCCAAAGGATGCTGGCCAGCCTGAGGAAGCTCATGCCCATGCTGAGGGCAGCTCACCGAGCTAGGGCAGGTGAGAAGGCAGGAGCCTGGGGGCAGGCAGGGCTGAGCACTGAGCCTCCGCCTGATTGTGAAACAGGCAGCAGGTTGGGGGTGGGTCTCAGGTTAAGCTTCCCTAACCCTCTGCTTCTGTGCCTTACTCCCTCAGCCTGGCCTCAGCCGAGTGACCAGCCCAAGGAGGGACCACCCCTGGCCACTGAGCTGCTGAGGACACTGCTGCGAGGGGTGAGGTGGGGTGGGACGCTGCTCTCATGGGGCCTCGGCGCTGCCCGTCCTGGACCAGGCACCTCCTTCTGGGACCTCTGATTCCAGCCTTCAGGCCTTGTCCTGGACTGTCCCTGGTGCCCAGTGTGATGTTCCTTGTCCGATCCGTGCCCAGACAAGCCACGTCTGGCATGCTGGTGAAGACTCCAGCTCTGAGACCTTGAACAGATCATGTGCTTCTTAGAGCCTCAGTTTCCCTGTTTGTAAAATGGGGTCTCTGAAAGTACTGACCCCGTGGAAACTTGGCTAAGCCTCTCCTTGTGAGATGTCACTGAATGTCGTTGACTCCTTGTCATCTTTCTCTCCAGGAATCCCTGGGGTCTGTGCTGGGCCAAGCCCCGGAGTCCATGGGCAGCTTTGTGGAGGCAGCAGAGGACCTGGCCCAGGAGGTAAGAGGCCTATGCATCCTCGACCCCAGCCAGGAAACTGGAACTGTGGCCGCCCGGACGGTGGGCAGCCCCATGCACCTACCCTCTGTAGGTTTGGGGAAACACAAGCAGAAAGAGAGGGAGAGGGTTCTTCCGGCAGAGTCCCTTGCCCTGGTGAAGGCGTGGTAGGGGAGCCACGTGGAAGCGAAGACAGCCAGGACCCTCTGGTGACCCACCTCCAGGTCCTGGAGCTGCCCAGCCTGGTGGAGCTGCAGGTGCTGCTGCAGAGACCCCAGAGGACCACTGGACCCCTGGAAGTGGTGTCAGAGGCCCTCTGCAGTGCCAGGGGGCCTAGCAAACCGGGGGGGCCCTCCCTCAACTGGTATGAGGCCAGTGACCTGAAGGAGCTCATGGGACAGAAGCCGGCAAGGGCCCTACCTGTTGACAGCCTGAGTGAGTGACCACCTTGGTTTCCCAGTCTGGGAAGTGTGTGTGTGTGTGTGTGTGTGTGTGTGTGTGAGAGAGAGAGAGAGAGAGCAGGACCTCATGGTGTCCCGCCCCAGGCTCCACGTGCAATAAGCTGATGGGGGCCCTGGACACCCACCCCATGTCCCGCCTGCTCTGGAGGCGCCTGAAGCCACTGGTCCTGGGGAAAGTACTGTTTGCTCCTGATACGCCCTTCACCCGGCAGCTCATGGCCCAGGTGAGGGTGGGAGGGGCCCCTGATCTCTGCCTCAGCCCAGGGGAGAGAGCCCCCCCCTACCCTGGGCGGAGAGGGATGGGCGTGAGCTAGGGCTCAGAGGCACGGGATGGAGCAGAGTGGAGGGAGCGGGAGAGGTGGGCAGGGGTCCTCAGAGGAGGGAAGTGTCAATGAACAGGCGAGGCCGGCATGGACCTCAGCGCCCACCTCCTACAGGTGAACCGAACCTTCCAGGAACTGGCTGTGTTGAAGGACGTCCAGGAGGTGTGGGAGCTGCTGGGACCCCAGCTCTTCAACTTCATGAATGACAGTGCAAATGTCGCCATGCTGCAGGTGGGGCCGGGATGGAGGGTGGCAGATTCACCCCCACCTCTTCATACCCATCACCCCCTGCGGAGGACTTGGGCAAAGGGCAGGGCCTTATGGGCAAGAGTGTGGAGGTGGGATGTGGTGTCCATGGTGAGCTCAGGCCCCAGGGATGGGAAGAGGTGCAATGGCCCTGAATGCCCAATGCAGACCCCCACGTTCCACGACACCCCCCAGAAGCTCCTGCAAATCCGGGACGAAAGAAGGAAGCAGCTAGGACCTGGAGGCCGGGACCAGGTGGAGGCCCTCCGTGCCTTTCTGAACCCACACAGAGGTGGCTACAGCTGGCAGGAGGCCCACGCTGACATGGGACATCTGGTGGGCATGCTGGGCTGCGTGATGGAGGTGAGGGGCCGTCTAATAGGGGAAATCTCTAAGCGGAGAGGCAGCCCCTCTGTGGGGGTCCGATGGAGGGGTCGGCCCCACTCTGGGGCTCTGAGCAGGAAGCACGGCTTGGCCCCAAGGTCCAGGGGAGGACCCTGGGACTTCAGACCCACACCCAGGCCCCTCTGCAGTGCGTGACCCTGGACAAGCTGGAGGCTGTGCCCTCAGAGGCCGCCCTGGTGGAGCGGGCCCTGGAACTGCTCTCCCAGCACCGTTTCTGGGCCGGCATTGTCTTCCTGGGGCCGGAGGACTCCCCGGACCGCACGCAGTTCCCAGGCCCTGGTCCCTTGCGCATCAAGATCCGTATGGACATCGATGACGTAACCAGAACCAATAAGATAAGGGACAGGTGGGGGCCTTGTGGGGCAGGGCCAAGAGGACGGGGGCTCCATTGTCTAGAGATACCAGAGAGCTTCTCACCTATCAGAGGTTCCTTAGACCAACTGGGGTCCGTGGTGGGAGGGGCCTATGATGCGTGAGGGGGCGTGGCAGGCGGGGTCAACACTTTGGCTTCTGGGATAAGATGGGAGCCGCTAGCAGCTGGGGCTAGGTGCTTAATTGAGCGGGCATATAAGAGTGGAGCTAAAAGTGTGATGGGCAGGGCCCAGCCACTCCCTCCAGCCCACCACCATGCTCCCCTCAGGTTTTGGGACCCTGGCCCCGCCGCTGACCCCCTGATAGACCTGCGCTATGTGTGGGGCGGCTTCGTGTACCTGCAGGACATGGTGGAGCGCGCCGCCGTGCACGTGCTCAGCGGCGCCCCGCCCCGCGCCGGCCTCTACCTGCAGCAGATGCCCTACCCTTGCTATGTGGATGATGCGTGAGCACCCCATCCTCACTCACTCACCCAGATGCCAGATTCCCGGGTCTCAGGGTGGGGCCTGTGTTCCCTTTGGAATGTCCATGCAGTCAATGCTGAGAACTACTGGTTTAGAGGGACCATTTCCTGTGACCTGTAATGGGAGGAGCAGGGATCCCTAAGGGTCTGGGGTCTCTGGACACAGCGAGAAGGTGGCTTGGCAGCTGGAGCACTGAGGGGCCATTAGGGGTCCGAGGATAAGGGAGGGCAAATGTTTGCTGGCTGCACCTTGGGACCCTGGGGCGGGAACCATTGTGCTTGATGGGGGCAGCACGGGGTCTTCGGCCTCCACCCCAGCTGCCCCACTGCCTCAGGTTCCTGCGAGTGCTGAGCCGCTCACTGCCGCTCTTCCTGACGCTGGCCTGGATCTACTCGGTGGCGCTGACTGTGAAGGCTGTGGTGTGCGAGAAGGAGACGCGGCTGCGCCACACGATGCGCGCCATGGGGCTCAGTGGCGCTGTGCTGTGGCTGGGCTGGTTCCTCAGCTGCCTCGGGCCCTTCCTTCTCAGCACCGCGTTGCTCGTGGCCGTGCTCAAGGTGGGCGCACCCGGGCCTGCCTGGCTCCAGAATGTGTGTGCTGCACGTGGGAGGGTAACAGGCAGGGGGCGCCTCCCGCTGTCGTGTGTCACTGGGCCAATCCCAGCACCCTCTCAAGCTCCCTTTGACTCCCGCAGCTTGGGGACATCCTCCCCTACAGCCACCCTGTTGTGCTCTTCCTGTTCTTGGCGGCTTTCGCCGTGGCCACGGTGGTCCAGAGTTTCTTGCTGAGCGCCTTCTTCTCCCGCGCCAACCTGGCGGCCG